TTAAAAAAAATCACCTACTGCACTTGATCTATTTGAACTTCTGTTTAATATTATATTCAATCAATATGATCGTAAAATAGTACTTTTGTAAAACGTTACGTAATAAGTAACAAAAATAATTAAATTTATAAAAATTTCTTTTCCACTTTCTTCTTTCAATTATCGCTTATATATGTGTATGTTACTAATCAAAGAGAATAGTTGATAATTTTTTTTTGTGTTCTTCTTTCTTTCAGTCATCACTCGTATAGCTTGATAATGAGTGCACGACATCTCATTTGTTCTTACACATTCCAGATGAAAAGAAAAATAAATTGAACATAACATGTGTAAAGACGACATAGATATCGTGCAGTCGATATCACAGCATGAGTCAAAACAACCGGTTGTCATCATACGCTGCGTATTAAAATTCCGTCAACGTCGTCTTTCTTCGTGTCTTTTCGTTTCTGCTTCTTCTCGTTCTTCGTAACAGAGGAAGAAAAAAATTTAAAACAAACGGAGCTTTCGAGGGTGGCTCTAAAACAAAACGAACCTTCCCAGGGATATCCGACGTTCTGTTGGTAACCTGTACAGGCGTGCAGATGGTAGGCCCTCATAACATACATCTATGTATGTATGACTAGAAGCGTCCATCTGATCATCGTCTTTCCGAAGATGCTGATCATGGATGTACTAGTCATACATGCATAAATGTCTGTTTGCCTTATTATTGTAGGCTTTGTCCACTGTACAACCCAACAGAATACGGAGGGTATCCCTAATCGCGTGTGCGCGAAATTTTTGTAGTTGGTGCGCCTCGGCGAGCCAAACATGTTCAAGAAGGCCATTTTATTTTCTCGTTTAAAAAAAACAATTACATTTTCTTTTTTACATTTTGAATGTTTCTTTGCGACTGTGCAATATGCGGATGGTTTGGTGGCAGTGATTTTTGTCGTATCTCGAGCCCTTTTTGGAGAAATGAAAGTGCTTTCGTGTACTCGCCCATGTTATAATACACCATACCGATGTTGTTGTAGGATTGAGCGAAGTCGGGATGATTCGGAGGAAGTGCTATTTTTCGAATTTCAAGTGATCGTTCTTGCGATGAAAGTGCTTTCGAGTACTCGCCCATGTTGTCATACACCAAACCGATATCGTTGTAGGAAGTAGCCAAGTCAGGATGATTTTGGGGGAGAGCTGTTTTTCGGATTTCAAGTGATCGTTCAGACGATGAAAGTGCTTTTGAGTACTGGCCCATGTTATTATACACCAAAGCGATACCAGTGTAAGAGGAAGCCAAGTGGGGATGATTCGGAGGGAGAGCTATTTTTTGGATTTCAAGTGATCGTTCGTACGATGAAAGTGCTTTCGAGTACTCGCCCATGTTATAATACACCATACCGATGTTGTTGTAGGATTGAGCGAAGTCGGGATGATTCGGAGGAAGAGCTATTTTATGAATTTCAAGTGATCGTTCGTACGATGAAAGTGCTTTCGAGTACTCGCCCATGTTATCATACACCAAACCGATGTTGTTGTAAGAAGTACCCAACGAGGGATGATTCGGAGGGAGAGCTGTTTTTCGGATTTCAAGTGATCGTTCAGACGATGAAAGTGCTTTTGAGTACTGGCCCATGTTATTATACACCAAAGCGATACCAGTGTAAGAGAAAGCCAAGTGGGGATGATTCGGAGGGAGAGCTATTTTCCAGATTTCAAGTGCTCGTTCATACGATGAAAGTGCTTTCGAGTACTTGCCCATGTTATCATACACCAAACCGATGTTGTTGTAGGACGAAGCCAAGTCGGGATGATTCGGAGGGAGAGCTATTTTTTTGATTTCAAGTGATCGTTCATACGATGAAAGCGCTTTCGAGTACTCGCCTATCTTATCATACACCAAACCGATGTTGTTGTAGGAAGCAGCCAAGTCGGGATGATTCGGAGGGCGAACTATTTTTCGGATTTCAAGTGATCGTTCGTACGATGAAAGTGCTTTCGAGTACTCGCCCATGTTATAATACACTGCACCGATCTCGCTGTAGGAAGCAGCCAAGTCGAGAAGATTTTGAGGAGTGGTGTTTTCTTTGATTTTGAGTGATTTTTCGTGAAATATAATTGCTTTTGCGTATTCGCCCATATCAGTATACAACCAACCAAGGTAATGATTGTAATCTGATTTTTGCTTATCAGAAGACGCCGTTTCGAGGAGAGTCTTATAAAGTTGTTCTGCTTTCGCAGGGTCACCCAACTTAATAAATATGTGGCCTAGGCGAGTCCACCCTGTGGCCCCACTATGCTCTTTGCGTAAATGTGCTGTAAGTTTGTTAAAATCATCATCTTGATTACCAGCGAGGGTGAGATTGACTTGCCAGAGACGATCTGTATGCTTATCTTCAATATGTTCTATACGATCGATGCGAAAAATTGTATGTGTCGAAAAAAGAATTTCTTCTTCTTTATCGTCGAAGAAGCCAACATTTTTCACGTTGACGAAAGGTGTCGATGAAGCTGTGCAAATGGCCGTATCGATGTTCATAACAAAAAGGATGCCAACTGTATTTGCATTGAATGCTGCTGGTCGTGCAAAGGTTTCGAAAGAAATATCACGATTACGACTTGTCGACAAAAAATTATTAAAGGACATAAGTCCACCTTTGGTTTTCTTCATTTTTTCAAAGGCTTCCATGGATAAGCCTTGACCACGAAAAACTTGAAATTTTGATGGCATGGCTGCTTTGCTACTTTGCTGTTCACGATGTAAGTCTGTAATATGTTGATGTAGATGGCGGATGAAAAAGCCCATTTTGAGTATAATATTAATATCCATAAATCGAAGTCCACGATTAAGCATCGGATAAATGAATGTTTCAGCTGTATACCACCATATTGGCGTATGATTACGATATTCATTTTCAACTTGTTTAATTTGATCTTCAAGAATATCATCCTGTTCACGACAATATTCAGCCAGGTCTTTGAGAGATTTTCTATCGTCATCTTCGATTTCTAA